ACTTAATATCAATACTAAAATTAATATTAATTTTTATATTTTTTTTATATGAATTTATGAAAAAAAAATAGTTTTAATCTGTGCCCCTACTAATAAATATCTTGAATTTTCTTAAAAAAATGTTTTAAGTATGTGCTCTGTCAAAAAAACAAAAGATGTGCAGTGCAAATACTTAGACAAAAGTTAGAATTCTTTTTTTGTTTGTCTTTCTATAGGAAAAGATAGAAGATTTTCAATGAGCTCAGTTCTTTTTAATTAGAGGAAATTTTGATTTAATTACTTGTCATTTGAGTTAAGTCCACATAAAACAATATTATGAAGAAATAAGAATTGCACTTGCACATTTCTAAAACTCTCAACATCAAGCCTTAAATGAGATGTACAGCCATCGGACTTGCGTTTGAGCCACGGATACACAATCGAATTGGTTCCATCAAACAACTCTACATCATCTCCACTAACAACTCCACCACTGCTAAGAAAATGAATCCTTAATGCATCCTACACTCAAAATAAAAATTGCACAGTAGAGAAATATGGGTGTTTTTTTTTTTCTTTTTTAATTTATAGTCAAATTATTTTCAAATCAACTTTCATATATTTTGAGACTAATCTTTTCTAGGCAATCTTAACGGTGCACACATTCACATTGATATGATGTATTTAAAAAAATTAATTTCCTTAAATACTAGCCCCAAAATTTAAATCTTGAATTTAATTTATAAAATAATACTTATTTATTAGTAGATTTAACTTTGAATTTAGCCTAGAGAAATATGGTTTAGCATCAAAATAATTTATGAAAAAAAGAAAAAAAAGCGATAGTTGCCCCTCTCTGATCCCTTCGCTCTCTTTTGCTCCTTCTTTGACCCTAGCTGCCGCCTCTATCCCTTTGGGTGGTTGAGGAACAATAAAGGTGGGATTTTCTCCTTGTAAGTTTCTCTCTTCTTTGGAAGTCTCTATCTTGGCGCTCTCAATGTATTTCATCTGGTTTCATCCATTGTGAAGGAAGAAAGTGAGCATGTAAGGCTAGTTAGATTTGGATGGATTGAGTGCTTGCTTTCATTGTCAACGACATGGTCAAGGGAGGTGTCCTTAACTAATCTTATGCCCCAAAAAATTGGAGTATCATATGATACCTTTCAAATGTTTTGAATACACAATAGGGTAGTTCTTTTAGGTATGTTTGCTCTAATATAACAATTAGGCATGTAATGTCTTTGATAATTGATAACTCACTATATATATATATATTTAATTATTTATTTATATATATAGAGTATGTGAAATCAAATATTAGTGCTATAGATTTAGCTTCATTTTATTATGTTTATATGGCAGGGATTTCAATCCAATTTTTCTCGATTATTAATGATTTATCAAAAAAATTTATGAAAAGTATTTCTATATGCATCATTAAAAGGACTTTGTCAAAAAATTTAATTTGACGTGATCGTTAATGATCATAATAGTACATGCATCTTCCTACCAATTGCACAAAACACCACTTAATTACAAGAAAATTACAGGAAAAGACTGCGTTAGAACTGTTGCTGGTAGCTGAGGAAGAAAATGTATAAACTAGGTTAGTTTAAGCCGGATTTAGACACTGCACGAACTCAAGAAGGAACCAAACATGGAGATGGACCAACAATTAATATCAGAGCCAGTGAGTCCTGCTGGGCAATACTTCAATAGCTCGGTGTTATCTATATCCATAATCAATGTTTGGGAAGCAAAAGAGCCAATTGATGACTCTCAGGCTGTGTGGCAACTCCGGACCTATTTCCTACCCATTAGCCCACGTTTCTCCTCCATCATGGTATTCCTTATATATACCTTCTCTTACTTTTCTTTTTCAAAGCATATCTGCATCTTAAACTCTTATTTCTTTAACTTGATTAATTATCAGTTTAATTCTGCACGCATTGCAGTATAAAACTAAAACAACCAACACAATAAAATTGTGAATTTGCAGGTTGTCGGTAAACATGGAGAGAAACGCTGGAAGAGAGTTCAGGTAATCCCAGAAGAACATGTTAAAGTCCCTGTCTTCCCTACTGGACTAACACCAAATCTTTACGACGAGCACCTCGAAAACTACATATCAGAGATAGCAATGGAACCATTTCCTCAGAGCCGTCCCCTGTGGGAAATTCATATCTTTAAATACCCCACAAGCAACGCAGCTGGTAACTGGATATTCAAGCTTCACCATTCACTCGGTGATGGTTTCTCCTTGATGGGGGCACTTCTTTCTTGCCTTAAAAGAGCTGATGATCCTTCTCTTACTCCTACGCTTCCTTGTGTTGGACTAAATGCAAGGAGGAATATCGAGAATCAAAGGAACAGCATACTTAGTACTGTTTCTAAATTTTTTTCTCTAGCCTCCAATACCATATCAGATATTTTTGAGAGTATAACAAAGAGTACTTTGATAAAGGATGATCAATCACCTATATGGTCCGGTAATGATGGAGTCGAATTTTCTCCATTTACTACCACAACGATAACATTCTCTCTCCATGACGTTAAACAAATCAAGTTGAGCCTCAACGTGGTAAGATTGTAGTTGATTTCTTTTGAGTTTAAACTTTTAATTAATTTCTCCTGTCTAAATAATTGAAGTTTTAGTCTTCACATGATATCCTCAATCTCAGTATGATTTGAATTCCACGTTAAGATGTACAGAAGTGTGAATATAGTATATAAGTAGGGATACTTGAATATAATATATAAGGTAATGTAAACTAAATACATCTATAACTATTTTGTAACAAATGTTAAAGACCTTTTTATACTCCCGTAATAAATTTTTGTTCTTAAAAAAATTAGTATATAAATATAAAAACCAATCATTATTAATAATTTGAGTTAGATTTTTTAAGGGTTTAATGGTAGGCTTTTGACAGATTTTTCATTCATATACACCTTCTCAGAAGTTTGTTTTGAAACTACCATATTTATCTATTTGAAACTTTAAGTTACATATTTAGGATGATATTTTGATTTCTCTAACGTCCAATTGTCTTTTTTGACAGACTGTCAATGCCGTTATCACTGGAATAATATTTTTTGGGAGCCGGCTTTACATGGAGGAAGTGAGCAAGGGTAAGTCCAGCAAGACAGACCCAACAGCACTAGTGTTACTAAACACTAGGGTGATCCGAAGTTACAAGTCAGTGCAGGAAATGCTTAGACCTGACAC